GGTATCATAGAAAGCGTTCACGTCATAAATTACTCGATTAAATTCCTCGGAGAGAAGGAACTCCGAGGGAGTGCAACGACAATCAGAGACACGTGAAGTTTCGGTCATAAACTATTTCGTCTCTCTAACCAGGAAGTAGCTCTCTCTAAGGGACGTTTCATCGATTTGTCATTAAAGTAACCTTGCGGCATCTCCTACCTACGAAGCCAGACACGCGAATTCATTTTTCCAGTGAATCTTTCTTTGCAATTGATACGTCTATCAATCGCGTACTTCAATGGATGTATCAGTAAATCAGCAAACGTAATTCACCAAGAACACCGTACGCGTATCTTTCGATTCTTTTCTACAAATATTCCAGGCACGCATAAATAGGGAATGCAGATCTCATTTTTGATATGATTAAAAAGAATGTGTCAATCACGATTGATTACTGCAAGTTTTTATGCATTACTGTAACTATTTCTATTATAAATCTTGACTTGAATAGGTCTGTGTTGAAAAGTCGCGATACAGTTAAAAACCGGATCTCAGTATAATTCTTTCGCGAAGCTCGCGACCAATGAGACTTCCGGTGTCCTCGTGTGGCCGCGGTGTCCAGCAACAGCCCATAAAAGCTGGAAAGCAACGTAGAAGACGGCACACGAGCAACCTGCGCACCTGCGATCGGATCAAAGCGATTGCGTGAAGACCGAAACGTGGCGGTGCATCAGTGAGAATCGAGATCCCGGCTGGATTACATGCGGTTCCATGGAAATATTTAAACACCAAATGTTAATCGTCGATGTCAGAGGAATGTCATGTTTCGAAGAATAACTCGTTCTACATGTTAAGAAACACTTTCCTGGGCGAAAACGAAAGAACGACAGACAATGGAGGATATCTTGTAGATCGAACGGTTATTCGAAATCATCACAAGAGCTACACGTTGACGTTTTTGTGAATGAAAAGTGCGAGGTATGACAAGAATACCTTGAATTTCTTGAACTTTGTGCTACCGGCGACTTTTCCATATTTTGATACAAGAATGACTGGAAACCGGTAATTCTTGACAGCTTTCACAAAGAAGCCATAACATCATACTTTTTAACTTCTTCTCTTTGTTTTGCACAACCAGAGAGATAAAATCGTCGCTATTGTTGCGAGAGAGAAGGTTGATTATACTGTGATGCTATTAATCGCGGTTGCTGTTTTCGCGCGGTCTTCCAACATATGATGTTGTCGATATGGCAGTGAAATACTTGGATGGTCCTTTTATATTCAGACTCAACGACAATGGTTCAGGACCGCATCTTCTTATACAGGTATATTAATATCCTTAGAATATCCTCGTTCCAGAGCTAGGACGTATCGGTTTCAGCTATTTTCGATAGCACAAACGCTATCACGGATATTAGATGCTCTTCATTGAAAAGACGGAAATCGAGCGAGTCGCGTTTCAATAAAGTGTGTGTCATGATTGCGTGGGTAGTCGAGATCTAAAATACAATGAATACACGTAACACCGGTAGGTACATAAATGTTGGATACGTTCCGTCACGCTTTTATGTCGCTTGGAATTTGTTCGACACGGTTACAAACTTAGCCGTGCCCTTGAACTGAATACTTTTCAAGGTACGTACAGTGTGCATATGCACGGTACATACTTGCAAAGTCGAAGACGAGATGCGACGCGCTTTTGCGTGCACCATTTTTAGAAACGCGGCTATTAAATGCGACATGCAATAATAATAGACAAAGCAATAGATCAAGCATGCCATTACGACGATTCACCTCTTCCTTCCTTATAATCTAAACGTAACAGCAAAGCATGGATCACGTAGCTTGAAAAACAGCTTTAAACCTCTCATCAGGCAACATTGACATAAGCATGCGTCACGTTCCTGTGAACATTTCGTTATGTAGTTAAAAGTTAATTTGTTAGTTATTACGAGCTGAACAGCTGAGGCTGTTGAAAACGAAATGGAATAATTCGGGTTATAAGAACAGGGTGCGATGAATGTGGTCGATGACCTTCCGCGGCGAATCGATGTTGAAGTTGTATGAAAAGAATAATAAAACTAGGCTACCGTAATAGTGAAAAGAGATATACCCGAATTTAATTGTAATTAGAGAGCCTTGGTTCGCTTTTGGCTATCGCAAGTAACCATTCTTAATGCTCTAATAACACGACAAATAAACCAAGGGCACTCGCCGCTATTTTTGTGTGCACGTTCAAAAGTTTTCCAATTATTCCCGGAAATGCGTAATAATCCAGTTGTATAGATATTTACCCTATCGTGTCCCATTCATTCGAGAGTCACGCGTTAGAACGAGTCTTCCTCCTGTTATCAGAAGGATGAACTTTTAGTCAGTAAATAAGTTGGAAAATGAATGTACACGCGAATCGCATACTTTGTATCACAGGTTTGTACGGAACGGGGCTGGAGGGAATATACTGGCGAAAATAATGTATTCAAAGATCGATGGAATTTATGGTGGCGGTCCGGCGGTTTCCCCTTACCCCATTACAAGCTATTACTCCCGTGGCAGGTAATAAACCCGTTCTAAATCTTCTATTTGAACATTGCAAACCCTGTCTTTCAATCTCATAAATTTTAGTTTATCAACAGAATTCCGAAAGGGAGTTCAATCTGTAGGAAAGACAATCTCATACGTCATCTTAGATGTATGAAGAAGATGCACGGATCGATATACGATTTCAGGTATGATCTAGAATATGAAGTGAAGTAATCGTGAGAATCGTGTTCAATCGTTATCAAAAATGCAACGCATTAGTCCTGTAGGATATAATTTGCCTTCGGAATATACTAAATTAGCGGAAGGGTGCAACCGTTGCGAGCATGATAGAGTTTGGATCTGCAAGCCAGTTGGTCAAAGTCAGGGGAAAGGAATTTTTTTGTTTCGTGTAAGAGCATTGATTTAAAAAAAAAAAAAAAAAAAA